AAACGACGTCGTTTTGAGTATGGGGCAATTGGACCGGGCAGGGCGTTTGGGCCAGTGGTTTGGTCCGGTCTTGAGGGGTTTTTGGGGTGGGCTAAACCATTTTTGGCCCAATCTGGGCATTTTATTGAGACCAATTTGTTTTCTTTGTATTTTCTTTATTTTGCTTTTGTATTTTATTTTGTATTTTTGTATTTATTTATTTTCTGATTTTATAAAAATGCTAAAACAAAACTAAAACAAATTGACTTTAACAATTATATTTCCTAATTAATTCCTAAAGAGAAATGCAAACTAATACCAAAATATGCAAAATGGACCTTTTTTGTTATTTTCTTAACATTTTGTTCTAAAACAAACTAATACTAAAATATGAAATTAAATCCTAAATGCAAAATGCATATTTTTGTATTTTCATATGAATTAAAATGCACAAATAAAAATGCAACAATTACCAAAAAATGCCACAAAATTCACAAAAAATTATAAAATACTAAAGAAATTGTTTTGTTTGAAATTTTGGGAATTATTACTTAGGGTAAAAATCACGTGCTCACACACACCATAACATAAAAGGACTTAGGTTTCTTACCGGAAATCATGAGTACAAAGGAAGAAACAATAAACTTGGAGACAATAATTCTAGCAAACAAAAATGAACAAAGAGTACTCACATTGCCTTCCCCTCAAAGGGCAAAAAATCTGTTTCATCCAAGGATAAAGGCTGAACTAACTCCACCAACACTTATATAGATTGTAGGCTTCTCTCCACTTTGAGGCAGGCCATCATCATTAATCCAGGCTCAGGCTCTTCAGGAAGAAACACCACGAATTTCCCATCTTGCGGGAGGCCAACCAAAATGGGGGATGGTGGAGGGTGACCGTGAGAAGACAGTGAGGGAAATTGATCTATAAGACATGGTGATTGAAACCATCTTTTAACACAAACATCATATGCATACATGTACAGGTACTTCCAAACGGCAGGATCAGATTGTGTCATGCTATGCTTAACCAATTTTTCATTAGGGATAGACCCAGAAAGACCAACACACAAGGATCCACCAGCATAGTAGATGTCGTCACCAATAACGGCCCAATTTCCTGCACTTCCATAAATAACCGGATTGAGCTTCGCAACCGGAGAAATCTTTTTCATAGGGAGGATTATCGGTTGGCCTGAATTATCATCATCCTTTGTCAACAACGGATCCTTTGTCAGCGGCACGTCGATGCAATACCACCAATCAAACTCATTATCAAGCCCGTGGAGATAGACAACAACTGGCGACCCCCTCTCTCTCAAACCCTCTTCTTCCATTCCTCTAGGGTTATGCAAATTTAAGAGGGTGTTTGGCTAAGCTTATAAGCCGGTCAAACTGGCTTATAAACACTTTTTGGCTTATCTACGTGTTTGGTAAAATTAAAAAGTGCTTATAAGTTAAGTGCCTATAAGACAAAAATAAGCCAAAAGCTATAAGTTGGTCTCCCCCAACTTATCAAATTTCAGCTTATAAGCACTTTAAGTTTGTCCAAAATATTTACTATTCTATCCCTAAAATAATTATTTTTAAAACAAAACTCTTCGTATACCCAGTTCTTCAGCTGCATATTATTAATTTCAGCACTTTTATCCAAACACGTAACTACTTATTTTTTAAATCAGTTTCAGCACTTAAAAGTGCTTTTCAGCACCTAATGCTTATTAGCTACTCTAAATCAGCTAAGCCGAACGGGCTCTAAGTCGGCTGGCTAATTTCATCCGTATCGTCAAGTTTCGGACGATATATAGTTTGGTTTTACGTGCCTCCCTTTTTATTTTTACGTGTCACACCTCCTTTTTCCCGAGGGCAATAGGGAGTTTTTCCAATTTAAGCGATATTATTTGAAATGAGATTATTTATTGATTCAAAGTCGCTACTTAGGATAATTTATGGTGTCCCAAGTCACCGGTTTATTTTAAATCCCAAATCGAGGAAATTTGACTCTGTTTAAAGTCTGCGAAAACCAGAAGACCGGATAGGAATTCTGTTAACCCGGGAGAAGGTGTGAGGCACTCCCGAATTCCGTGGTTTTAGCACGGTCGCTTAACAATTAATAATTTACCTAATTATCTGATTTAATACATATTCCAAACCTAATGTGCATTTTTACCTTTTAAACTGCCTTTAGTATTTACTTAAACGCTTTTAATACTTATGAAAATTATTTGAACAAGTCGCGATGTCGCGCGCTCGTTTGCACATATTGCGAATAGCGCCACGTGAAACTCATCCGCAATTTATAATATATTTATTTATTATTATTTGAAGTTGAGGTCAAGTCGCGTGAAACGCGCACTTAAGTTGGGATTTATGTATTGTGACCATGCCACGAGAACCGTACCCATGGTCAAGATGATTTATTAATCGCGCATAAAGCAGGCTACGGTGTTCATGAATTATTTTTCCTAAAACTAGTTTGAGATTACTGTGAGACCATGAATTATGGAAATGGAATTGATGTGGAAGTCAAGAAATATTTTAGCTAAACGGTTCTAACATAAAACTTATGAATTACTACCAAATTCAAAGCATAATGAGTAAACAAAGCTAGGTTCTTTCAGTGGCTGAAGACAACACTTCTTATTCCCTATTTTCAACGTCCTGCATCAACAATTCACCTTCTCCATGAGAATCAACTTTAAAAGCTAGGTTCTTTCACATTATTTGCACAAAAACCAATCAATTTTGTCTCAATTTCACAAAAATCATTCTAATTAGCCATATCAATCCTCTGTACAGTATTTTAATTGCAGCGGACATTAAATTTTGGTAGTAATTTACTTACGAGGCAGTAATCTACTGTTCTGATGGTGTGCATGTTACCATTGGCTCTTTTTTTTTTTTTTTTTTTTTTTTTCTTTTCTTGAAAATAAGTCAACAAAGTAAAGTCTACTCCTCAAAATAACAAGGTAAATATAATAATAGGCAACTTTCCGTAGCAAATCTAATCTCGTAACTTGAAAAATAGGATAACAACTCGTTGTAGCCGATTAAATGACATATGATAGTATGAAAAGTACTCTTTATTCTATTAGTGTATACTCTCTCCATCCACTTTTACTTGTCCACTAGTCTTAAAGTACGCGCATTGCGCGTGTATTTTATCTCAATAAATATAAAACTTTGAAAAATTAAATAAATATTATATTAAAATTATTTTTTGAGTTTAAAATAAATGTTAACAAAAGTGTAAGTTTCTAAAAATGATGATTGTTGATCTTATTTAGCTAACTCTCCACTTATAAGTCCTTAATCATCTCATTCAAAACAACTGATAAAAGACAATTTTTTTTCTCACAGACCAAAACATAATTGTTTTATTTCCTTAACCAATAAGAAATACAATAATAATTATTTTCAACAGATAAAAAAATGCTATTGCAAATGTATTGGATTCAATTCTTATGTTTTTATTAATTTGCTATTCATTCGTTTTGTAATTGGCTTTCTTTCGTCAATTATCACATAGTCATATACAATACTTATTGGTATGTGATAATAGGTGAATTTGACAATAATCACGCCTTAAATAATCACCTTCTTGTGGAGTTTTAATGCTAAAAGTGATAACAAAATGCTCTTATTAGTGCTTTTTATGATTTGCAGGTGATATATGTATAAGGAAGGCTAAGGAGCAGTTTTGGAGTCAAAATTGATGAAAAAGAGGCCAACTGTGAAATTTCCCAAGTGAACCATGCAAAACAGGCCGAAGATTCAGAGCACTGGTTTTACCGCGGTTCCACCGCGACCGCGGTAGAACCGCGGTGGAAGACAGCTGCGGATGATTTCAGAATCAGAGAAGGCTTTTGGCCGCGGTCTGACCGCGACCGCGGCAGAACCGTGGCGGAAGCCGAAAACTTCAGGGACCAAAGTGTAAAACACGGGATTTTTAGACCTAAACCCTATTTAAAACATTAGACTTCGCCCAAGAGAGGCATGTATTGATTTTTAAGGTTTCTTAGCAAGGAAAACCATTGTGAGAGAATACTCCAACCATCTTTCTTCTTTTCTTTTGATTTTTATGATGAATTTAATCTTAGTTTATTTTCCCATAGCCATGAGTAGCTAAATTCCTTGTCTAAGGTTTTGATGGAACCTATTGGGTGATGAACTTCTTGTTTATGTGAATACAAATTGCTAGTTTAATCTCTATTTGTTCAACTTCGTGTTTGTTGTAGTTAATTGACAGGATCCTCAATTAGCTGTGCCTATTTAGTGTGCATAACTTGGAAAAGAGTGCATATTTAGGGTATTGTTGAACAACACCACTCCTAGATTATTAGAGGAATCTATAATTGCGGGTTTAAAGGCGGGATTAGGGATAACGAAGCCTTGGGTGTAATCTAAAGTGAATCGTGCTAAATAAAGTAAGCTAGTGTATCTCGGGAGAGTGCAATAGTAAATTATTGTGATTACTCGGGAGAGATTTACGGTAAGATTAGCGTTCATGATTGATAGAGTTGTGTTGGTAAATTTGTATGAGCATAAACAGAAGGGATTCCATCAATAGGGGAAATCATTGCCTTATCTTTTCGTCATAATTGTTTACAACCTTATTAGTTTAGTTTACAGCTATTTAGTTACTTGCAAGCTAGTTGTCAAAGAACACTCAACTGAGATTTGAATATTTGGGAAGCTGGTTCTGAAGAATTAGTGGGTCTGAAGATAGTGGTTGATAGGTTAACTCTCTGTGGATTCGACCCTGGGCGTAATACTCGGGTTATATTTGCAACGTCCGCAGAGTCCTTTTTATAAGGCATAGTTGGGCGTGATCAGTATGAATTATATATTTCCTCTTGCTTTTTCTTAATATACAATGCATATTTTATCCCCATTTAATTTTACATTTTTAAATTTTTTTATTTCGAAACAATGGCTAAGATTCAAATGTGTATTGCTTTTTTGGGGTCAAATTTGTAATAAATCTTAACTGAAACTCCATCATTTGAGCCAAATAAAAAAAGTTTTATCCAAAATAATGGAGTACCAACAGTGTATTTTTTGTTATTTTTCCTTAGACAAATGCCAATTTATTTCCATTGTATATTCTTATTATCGTGTTAAATTAGTAAAAAGAAGTTGGTTGGAGCTCCATTATTTTTTTGCCTAATAAAATATGTACAACCAAAATAATGAAGTTGCAATTGTATACTTTATTTTTATTTTTCCTTTACATGCGATAACTATTTGTTTCAATTGTGTATTTTTTTGGGAGAAAAAAATATGTAAATATACTTGCTTAAAGCTCCATTATTTTTTGTCAAACTACTTAATGTTTCTTTTTATATATCTTTTAGATGCACCGACTATTTATTTTAACTATATATTTCTTCTTTTGCAGATAAATTTGTCAACGTTTAGGCTGAAATTTTATCATTTAAATCAAATGAAATAAATATATTTAGTTGTTAAATGAAAACTTACCCATTAATTTTAAGAATATCAATTAATTTCGTTTGAAAGGGAAATAAAGAGGCAAAAATTGGTAAGAAGACAAAAATTACACAATATTTTCGTCGTTGTTCTTATAAGAAAAGAAACTTGTTTTCTATACTTTTGTACTTTTTAAATATTTTTTGTTGTTATTGGGTAAGATTTAATATCAAATTAAAAAAATGAACAAATACTTATAGAGAAGCAATATTCTCAATTCAGAACTATGGTAAAATAAAGCTCATTAATTTAAAAGGTAAATAATTTATAGAAAGTAAATCTTATTTGATTTTTTTGTCCTAATTATTAGGACTTCTAACGTGACAAATAAAATAAGGAAAATTCTAATGAACAATGTTTTAATTGATTTCAAAGTGTTAAATATTATGAAATAATTATGTGACTATTTTGTCTAGTGTGAATTCTATTTTAAAGGGGTAAAAAAGGCGAACGACATTTCGCTAAGCGCCTTCGTGCTTTTAATATATTATAGATTTTATTAAAAATATAATTTTACTTTTACTTGTCCACTATACAAAATCAAGAGAAATACAATCATTTTTTCCCGTTTTACCCTTATTATACTACTCATTCCCAAAATCATTTCCTAAGATTTTTGATTGTAAAATATATACTTTATTTATTTTTTCTTAAAGAAAGTGTAAAGTCAAAAGTGAACAATTAAAAGTGATCAGAGCGACGATAACTTAAATCCTAATGCATACTATATTGACTGAAAATTTTACAAAAATAACTGACTTGTACTCCCTCCGATCCTTTCATTTTTACTTGTCACGTTTCATCTTTCGAAAGTCAAACTACATAAGTTTTGACCGAAGTTTTAACATGTATTTTTTCACTATTTTGGTATAAGAAAAATAACAAATTATAGTACT